TCCCGTACTGTTTCTCTATTGAGGATTTTCCACATTAAATCTTGTATGTGATTATATTTGTTACGTTTAGTGATTATCAGGGTTTTTGCGTGATCTAAAAAATCTCAACAAGTGGAATAAGAGCGGGGTTCGACGGTTCGTGAATGTTCAAGAGGTGTGCAATTAGTGAGGCATTGGGGAACGACGGTGTGAGGATTGACATCGGCGAAGTAGACAAACAGTAGACGAAGAAAGCAGTGCCAAGAGTTGGCTTCATTGGTCTCTGTTTGCGTGAAAGGTTAATTGGAGGAGAGGAATCATGTGAACAAGACGTGAAAAAAACAAAGGTTACTGTAGTAGGCGAAACACTAATCATGTGAGTGAGTTAAAACTTATTTTTTTTTAAATTAAAATTGAAGGTGCAATTTGATTTATTTTTTGATCGGGGAATTGGATGCAGGATTTAATGATCCAGGAGTCTTTCGTAGGGCTTTTCGACGTGTTGAGTTCATTTTTAACATTGGTTTCACCAAATCAGCTTCTACATTGACTGATTTGAATTTTGGTTAGAGGGTCTGAAGTTTGATATTTTGCTATTCAATAGTAAGACACATTTTACAGTGTGATAGTGTACGGTTTAAGATTTTCTTCTGCAGTAGGTTGTTGATCATGAGAAGAAGTCTGAAGGGATGAAGGATGATGAATAGAGTTTTATACAAAAGAAGGCGGTCAACCCAATTCATTTGGCACTCGCTACTGAGGTCAAGTACAATGTTATGTAGGAGACCAAGTCAAGGGGGTTGTGAGACAAGCTCAAGGGGATTTATGCGTCGAAGTCGATGATAAAACCGATTGTGTTTGAGGATGGGGGTTCATTCATTGAAGGTAGAAGAAGGTATTGCTATCCGAAACCACATTAATGCCTTCAATCAGCTAGTTTGTCAACTTATGAATATTGATGAGGAGATTAAATAAGAAGAGCAAACACTACTCCTAATGTCTTCCCTACCGAAGTTGTACATGCCGTTAGTTCAGATGATAATTGTGAGGAAGTAGACTTTGAAATTAGACGATATAACAACACTCTACGTGAGAATGAAAGAATGATAGGGAAGGAGAGTGCATTTAATGATGGCGAGGGTGCACTAGCTTTTAAAAGTTCGAATTAAGGGAGGAGTAAGGGGAGATGTGATAATTATTGAGGAAGATTAAATCTCAGGCCCGAGACGAATGCGAAAGGGGATGTTGCTATTGTGAAGATAAGGGTCATACTTAGTTTAGATGGTCCGAGATGCGAGATGATTTAAAGAGCATTAGGCAAATGACGTTTCAAGAAAATGAGAAGGACTCATCGGCAGTTGTGTGTGATGAAAATGTGATGCTGATGATGTAGAGTACTAGTACCGATGCAAGCGACAATTTGCTGTTAGATTCTGCAACCCTAATGTACGTTTGCAACAACAAAGAGTGTTTTGACATATTAAAGATGGATGAAGAATTTGACGACATGATCGCTAGAAACAATAAGAAGATGAAGGTTGAAGGTAATAAGAGTGTTTTCTTCAAGCTTCAGACTGGAAAGGTTGGAGTTCTTCATCATGTGAGATATGTGACATCATATGGTTCTATTTTAATTTCTTTGGGTAAGATGACATCGTGTGGATACACATATGTGAGTGAAGGATAGTGGGGCAAAGTGTATAGAGATGGTGATCCGAGGGAGGAAGAATAGCGATCATATTTACCATTTAGATGAGCATTCTACTAATGTGTAGGTGATACTTCTCAGACTCTTATCCATAATGGAGAGGTGAAGATCAAGAAGAAGAGAGTTAGTTTTTCTAAAGCCGTTAAGATACTTGGAGATTTTTCGTCGAGAGAGAATATATTAGGTGCCGACTCAAAGTCCAAATTAGATCCGGAGTTGAAGGCTTAGCCTAGTCCTAATAGCTTTCTTAGAGGTCAAGTTAATAGTTTTATTGTAGGTCAAGTTGAATTGGTGGACTAGTCAAGGGTGCCGTTAAAAAAGACATCCTATTCTAGGTTATTTTTAGTAGAATAGAAAGAGATACAATATTCTTATAATGAAGATTCAATAGATGGTGTAACCGGATTCAAGGGTATTATGAGAGTGGGTTTCACATTTTTCGTCTGTGCAAATAATTATAATTTGAAGGTGAAAGTGATTATTTTCGATCCTGTAGTTTTTTTTCTTGTTGATGGTTTTTCACGTTAAATCTTATGTGTGATTCTATTTGCATTGTTTGGTTGTTTTCAAGGTTTTTGCATGATCTAACAAATCCCAACTCTTTGCAATCAGGAGAGTCGTTTTCTCATTAGGTTGGATTCTTTACAATTTGAATCGCAAAACCTTTAGCTGCTGGTGGCAGATATTTGAGCAAATAGATATAGTTCTTACTTTAGCAAAATATATCCGCGCTTTGCTTCATTATCTTTTCTTCATGGTTACCAAAAGTTTTTTTTTTTACCATGTGTCTTTTGAGAACTACCAATATATGGATATTATTTGCTATATCTTTAAAACTTTTTAGAGGTTTTCAGTAACTGACCCAAAATTTATAACGAGGAGAGAGATCTGTAGCTTTTATTCGGTGTTCCACCGACAATATAGTTCATATGATATCATGAAATGTCTTTTGCTCAGTATCTTATTATTATTACTGCTACTTTTTTGCTTGCCATCAATTTTTATTTAGTGATTTTTAGCCGGAAATCAATCGGGGCCCAACATGGCCCAGCACTATCTGGGACCACGTATTTACAAATCCGAAGTGGTGCCTTTCTCTTATTAAATTGACGTGTACCGAGGCACAACAGATCAGGTGCGGGTGCACTAATTTAAGTCAGTGGCAAAAAAGTAATTCTCACCAACACTGCCTCTCTATTCCTCCGCTTTTCACGTGATCGGAGGAGGGAAAAAAAAAGGAAGATGCTTAGCGTGGCAAATTAAAAAAAATAAAACCCCCCAATTCCACGTGTGTCACAATATTAAGAACCGTACGATCTTAGAACAAATCAATCTCGACCGTGCAAAGTGTAATCGTCTGTACATGACGCTCCTTCTGCAACAACGGGCCCCACCGGCGAATTAATCGTCCCATCAGTGGGAATGATGGCCAAGTATATATATAAAGAAAAAGAAGCAAAGGAGATTCTCCGGCCACGTGTCGGTCACCACTAGAGAATGGCGGCTGTCGGTGTTGACGTCACCCTCGCCGCTGCTGGAGGGAATCCAGATCTTTGCCGCGCAGAGAAGCTTCCTCTTTCTTAATCTCTTAACCCCCTCGGCCCTCACTTAACCCAAAAAGGGCTAAAAGAATTCGCTATGGTCACCAACCTCCTCAAAATTTTTATCTTTTCTGCTGCGGTCCGGTTTCGAGTATGCCGAGGCGCCGCGACACGAGCCGCAGAGCTCTACCAACGAGCGCTCTGCTTCCCTGATCCCAGATTGGGACCCCGCCGCTGCACCGCCTCCGGCAGCTGCACCGACCCGCTCCCGGGAGACTCCCGACTCCGCGATCGGGCCCGTGGAGGTCGCCGTTCTGACGCAATACCCGTAGACCGCGGGCGCAGCCCTTCCGAATTTCCGGCGAACGTGTACAGACTCCGTCCCAAACTCATCCCTATTTTTACGTCCGCCCGAGATTTACCAAATTCGAGCAAGAGCGTTGGTCCGCTAGCAGTTGTCTCCGGTCTCGGCGGTCGGGGTACGCGTTGTAGTTGTGTGCATAAGGTGGGCCTTATCGGAGTGACTTGTCTTAACGCCCCGGAGGATAAAGGTACGGGCCCGCGCGAATCCCGGAAAGCTCATCGAGGCGAGTTGACGGGTGAATGGAGAGAGGAGGCAGGTTTCTAGCCTGCTAAACTCAGCGCGCGGCAGGGCTTTTTTCTCTTACGCTTGGGACGATGGAGCCGGCGACAAGACGGCGAGCCAGCGAATCAAACGGTTCGCCGTTCATCGAAAGCTGAAGCTCCTGGCAGGTATAGCTGGAGACGCCACCTCCCAAGCCCAGAGCTCGCAGCGCTTTACCGGACCGTGTCCGTCGGCGCTTCTGCGGCGAGTCGCCGCGTCCAGGCGCCGCCGCCCGCCGGTTGCGTTGGGACCGAAATGGGCTCGTCGCGATGACGATGCAATTCTATACGGGTCCGAACTCTTTCTTAGTCTGCGTCGCGTTTCGTATTCGGCGAGCCGACACGAGCCGCCAGAGCTCTCACGAGCCTCTGTTCCCGATCAGGGCCCGCCGCCGCCTCCGGCAGCACGACCCGTTCCGGAGACCCCGACGCCGGGCCGTCGCCGTTCTTCCCCGACCCGCCGCCTTCCCAATCCGGCGACGTTCAGACCCCCAACATCCCATTTTCGTCCCCGCCGAAAGCCTTCCAATCGAGCAAGAGCGTTGTCGTAGCAGTCTCGGTCTCGGCGTCGGTCGCGTTATTGGCATTAGTGGCCTTATCGGGTTTCTTTCTCTACCGCCGGAGGATCAAGGCGGGCTCCGCCGATACCGAAAGCTCATCGGCGGTGAAAATGGAGAGAGGAGGAGGTTTCAGCCTCAGCCAGCGCCGGAGTTTCTCTACCTTGGGACGATGGAGCCGGCGGACAGACGCGCGAGCCAGCGAATCAAACGGTTCGCCGCTATCGAAAGCTGAGCTCTGGCAGGAGCCTGGAGACCCACCTCCAAGCCCAGAGCTCCAGCCTCTCCGCCGCTCGTCGGCGCCGCGGCGAGTCGCGCCGTCCAGCCGCCGCCCCCCGCCGGTTCGCGTTGGCGACGATGGCTCGTCCGATGACGATGCATTCTATACGCCGAACGCCTCGGGTGCGTCTCTGACCAGCGAGAGCCCGAGCTCCCTCTTTCACTCTCACGGCGGAGCCTCCCCGGTTCAATTGGGAGGAAAGAGGTTATAATTCCTCCTATCGAGCTAATCCCGGTCTCGGCGAACTTCGCCGAGGATGCAGTTTCCGGATTTCGCCTACTCAAATCAAACACCCAATTCAGCCACACGACCACCGCCACCCCCTCCTCCTTCCTCCGCCCACCGCCGCCGCCTCCACCGCTGAGACGTTCAACGCGAAGCTTCCGGTTGTGAGATGGCCACCATGCCTTCGTCGAGGAGGCAGTTGTTGAGGCCTTTGCCGGCGGAAGGTACTAGGATCGGGATCCCTTTTCCTCCGTCTAGACTCAGCAGTGGAAGTAGTAGCAGTAGTTCTCCGATGTTGGCGGAGGAGGCTGGAGGGAATTTGGATGGGGATTTGAAGCCAAAGTTGAAGCCTTTGCATTGGGATAAAGTCAGGGCGAGTTCTGAGCGAGCCACGGTTTGGGATCAGTTGAGGTCGAGCTCATTCCAGTAAGAACATTTCTGGTTCATTGTTAAGCTTTTATAGATACAAGGCTGGAAACAAATTCAATCTAATTGAATATTGAGATGGTAGTGCTTATATTCATTTAAAATCTTCCAATTGCGTTTTTAATATCCTTCAGATATTCATCCGATGTTAATATATCTATTTGATTCTGTAGTTTGTAGGTTATGAGTTTGTAATTGTTTCATTAAATATACACTTTTATCTGATTCTATTCGTAGTATTCAAATATAGTTGAAAATTATTACATTTTCTAATGATAACGTATAAATCCATAATTTGAAGAATTGTTTAAAAATATTCGATTTGTACATCTACGTATCTCTAAGTATGGAACCTAGATTAGAAAATTTAAGAAAGGTCGAAGCAGTACGTCTAAAATGCTAATAAATACGAATACCGGATAAGCAAATGAATCAAATACGTGGATACTTATACTTGACTCACGATATCTGAATGCTAAAAGGTATTTTCTTTCTCTTAAATGATCTCCACAATCTACATGAAACAATATACTATCGAACTATTTGATAATATTCGACCAATTCCCCCTCTAATTGTGAGCGTGTTTTTGTATGGCAGATTGAATGAAGACATGATTGAGACCCTGTTTGTCAATAATGCCACTAACCCTCCTCCTAAAGAAACACGTAAGAAACCTGTTATGCCTCCATTCAAGAAGGAGAACAGAGTTTTGGATCCGAAGAAGTCGCAAAACATTGCTATTCTTCTAAGGGCACTGAATGTGACTCGCGAGGAGGTGACTGAAGCACTTTTAGATGGTGAGAATTCTTCTAAAATCACCTGTTTAATATGCCTACTTGATTCTCTTTTTAGCTGTTGCTTATTGCTCAGGTTGTTTTAAGAGTATGCTACTGTTTTCTTATTGACATAACTGGTAGACTGTTAAGGCCCGTTTGGATGACAAGAAGTATTGGAAGTAACTTTCAACATTATGAAGTAGTAAGTAACGAGAGTAATAATTTTTTGTTTGTTTGTACTTCTTTCTTTCATTCACTTTTGTGTTTAGGTATCAATTGAAAATATCGTTAGGAAGTATCTAATATAGCACTTGAAAATATAATACTAATATTGATATTTACACCATGGTGAAATTACCTCTTCCTCTCATCATGGTGGACATTTTAATAATTATTTTCAATAAAAAAAGAAATTACACAATACGATGGATACGTGGATAAATGTGGCCATGGCGAAAATCCTTTTGTGCTTCATGACTATCCCAATCATATGCATTCTATATAACACTATCGATGATTGTGCAAGCGTTTTTCTCAAATATGCGTAAAACCTAGTGCTTCATTTTCTATTAATTAAGATAGAATTAAATTATTGTTCCATGGAACTTATTCCATGAACAGTGGATGTACTTGGATTCACATTTACGCGTCCACGCGAGAGATAGAGTGGATACGGATTGACTTCCAAGATCCCTATTTTCACGTGAACAAAATCTTTTACATGGACCCCCACATTTGTTTTTTTTTCCTACTTCTAAGTTCGGGGAGTGGAAGATGGGAAAAACTTTTCTGAAGTAGAGGTACCATCTAGGCACCACATCACTATTTTAAGGAAGTAGTGGAAATGGCTTTCCACATAAACAAATAACTTTTTTTGTCTACAAGTAGCAAAAGTATTCTCTACTTCATCTACTTCACCTACTTCGTAGCTACTTCTATGCAAACAAAAAGGCCCTTAGAATTTTACCTACTAACTAATTTAGGCTTTGAATGAAGTTAAAAACAAAATGTCAGCAAGTATGTTGAAACTAATGCGATGATATGTGCATTGGAGTTTCTATTGACAGGATGAAGTGCCATGTTCCTGAAACACTCACTAATTGAAATAGTAACCTCTAGAGCTAAAGGAGTGCTCATGACTGATTCTATCCATTTTGTTCTGTTTTTTTCCACATGAGTGACACATACATTACTAATTATCATGTCCACATGAAATCCACTACCCCAAATTTATTTAGGAAATTTATATCCAGCTCTGGCCATTCTTTTAGATGTAGTTATGAATTCCGTGGCCCCACTTAAAGAAAATTATATGCAGAACAATCTACAGATTCAAGAACCATAGATAATTCATCATCATATTTCTCTTGCATTGATGTATAAACTATTTGCTTGCTACAATGGTCCTGCTTGACATCATCTGGTTGTTGTATGATCATGTAAATATGTGAACTAAATAGAAAAATTTCCAAGCTCTGCATGATGGTTCGAATTACCAGGGCTATCTGATAAATGTTACATATGAAATCGGGTAAGCTTGATGTCTACAGTTAGAAACAATTGAGCTGAAGAAACTGAATCTAGATATGTCTAGTTAAAAACTAGCACAAGCGAAACCCCAAGAGAGTCCTTTTTCTTCAGAAACTTTTTTGTTGTGTTCTATGGGTACCTAAAAATTGAAGAGCTCTGCTAAAAAAAGTAATAAAAAAAAAAGAAAAAAAAAAGAAAAGGAAGAGCTTTCCTGTGAGTTTCCATGTTTTCCTCAAAATAAAATAAATAAATACTCATCACAGTAAGTAATGATAAAGTTGCTTCACAGCTAGATATAGGTGCTACTGCATTCACAATGTTCATTGAAGATCTTAGTTCTGCAAATCATCATTTACCTGTCCGTTATTATTTCCTAGTTATGTTTCACGAACTATATGTATGTTGAAGTGTTTTACTAAATATATCTACTAGTAGTTGGGTTCATGTACGTAGTTAACGTTGCTTCTAACAGGTAATCCTGAAGGCTTAGGGGCCGAGCTTTTGGAAACTTTGGTCAAGATGGCTCCCACAAAAGAGGAAGAAATAATATTAAGAGAATACAGTGGTGATTTATCCAAACTGGGATCTGCGGAGAGGTTTCTAAAGGCAGTCTTGGATATACCTTTTGCCTTCAAAAGAGTTGATGCAATGCTCTATAGAGCCAATTTTGAGTCAGAAGTCAGGTACCTGTGGAAATCCTTTGAAACCCTTGAGGTAAGAGTGTTAGATGTTTTTTTTGGATCTAAATTATTCCCTGTGCAAATGTAATTGAGAAATTGGGTGTCATTTAAAGATAGATATGGTACAAAGATAGTACCTGAAACTAGTTACGTTAAACTTTAGCTTCTCATTGGACCAAAGTGCAATATTTGGTCCTATTGATTATCATGATATGTTCTTTAGTTCTTCGTGATTGGGATTTATAAAGACCAACATTCTCTACCATCGAATGGCAGACACATAATGTGTGGCTACAAAAAGATATATTCTGCTGATAGATGAAATTTGGACATACTTTGAAGTATGAATTCAATCTTATAAATTTCTTGCATCTGTCAAAATCTTCAAATACCCATTGCTTTATATCTGTACTCCTTCTCGAAAGGTCAAAATCATAAAAATTTCCATTACCCTACACATTCAAACGAATTAAACTTATTCATAGGTCATTTTTGTTTCATAAGATTAAATATGAAGCATGAATCTGTTTTCACCAATATCTTTTTTTTTAATTTTTATTTCTCTCATCTGTTTTTGGCCTCATAGGAATCAATGGGAAGTAATAGAAAAGGGGGAAAAACCGATCAAAATCACTTCTTTCATCCATTATTCTTACCTTTTTTGCGGACACAAGTGTCATTTTTGTAATGTCTTGCCCTCTGCAATCTCTCCAGGCAGCTTGCGAGGACTTAAGCAGCAGCAGATTATTCCTCAAGCTACTAGAAGCTGTGCTTAGAACAGGAAACAGAATGAATGTCGGTACAAACCGAGGACAGGCTAAAGCCTTCAAACTCGACACCCTCCTAAAGCTTGCAGACGTCAAAGGAACTGACGGAAAAACAACTCTCCTACATTTCGTCGTCCAAGAAATCATTCGATCTGAGGGAGCAAGCTCTGATGCACCATCAGAAGAACCTTCGAACAAAACCAAAGACAATGAATTTAGAAAGCAAGGATTAAAAGTCTTGGCTGGGCTCAGTAACGAGCTTGGAAACGTCAAGAAAGCAGCAGGTATGGATTCTGATGTTCTAAGCGGTTATGTTAGAAAGCTAGAACTTGGATTAGAGAAGATAAGATCGGTATTGCAATTAGAGAGATCTTGTGACCAAGGATTGAAATTCTTCGATTCGATGAAATTGTTTCTTAAAGAGGCTGAACGGGAGATTGCTCAAGTTAAGGCTGAAGAGAAGAGGGCAACGGGACTAGTGAAAGAGATTACTGAGTATTTTCATGGAGATACATCAAGGGAAGAAGCTCATCCTCTTAGGATTTTCATGGTGGTGAGGGATTTCTTGTCGGTGTTGGATCATGTATGCAAGGATGTAGGAAGATTACAGGAGAGGACGATGATGGGTTCAGCGGGATCGTTTAGGATCTCCTCGAGTGCTTCTTTACCAGTTCTACATCGGTATGATCCAAGATTGCACAGAAATTCTGATGAGGATAGTTTTTCTTCGTGAAATAAATCAGGAGGTATGTGATGAATTTCAGCTGTTCACATGAGCCGTTCATCTCTGTACAGGAAATAAGCTACTGAGGAAAGGAAGAAACTTGTCATATATAATTTTCTTCTTACATAGATTAAAGTATAGCAGCATTAGAGGAGGCTTATAGATTGGAACCTGACAGATTATAGAGACTAGGTTCCTCCACAATGTAATTGAGTGTATGGATAATTATTAACATTTATTCATATTTTTTGTATTATTTTCATAAATCAAATATGCCGTGAATGTGATTTAAAAAGACCAAAATACTCCTTAAATTATTTAAAGTATCCATTTATGACCCCTTTTTTATTTTCAATCCTAAAAATGGAAGTCTCTTCTCTATTGTCATTCGTTCGTCCTTTTACCTGCGCCACACCTAGGATAGCCACCTAAACCCCTTTTCTTATTCTTCTTTTTTTTTTTGAAATTGTCCTTCAAAATGTCTCTTTATGTTGTTTTTTGTTCTAATTTATGGGGATTATTTGCAAAATGTGGAAACTTACTGGGAGCTTTTAGCAATTCCAAAAGTTAGTGGGAGTCTGTTACAATTTTGAAAGTTATCAAGGTCTTCTACGGAATGCTGGAAGTTCTTGAGGGTTTATGTAATTTACCCTGCGAGCATAACTTTAACTCAGCAAGAGCTCTTCACGTTTAGTAGAGTTTTGACTTGGTTATCTGCCATCAGATAGAAGTAGAGAAGGTCTTACAACCTAAAACCTAAAAGGGTCTATTTGACTTGGTAAGGTATCTATAAGTAATCCAAGGTGTCAGGTTTGACTTTTTTAAAGAGCATTCACATGAATTTAATTTCCCAGAATACTCGATATTGTGCGTTGGGAGCTGTCTTTTAGCCACGCCCAGTTTGATACCCATGATCCAAAGGATCGTGGGAAAGCGCCGTCGCCAAACCACCAAAAAAAAGAAAGAAATTTCTTACAAAGAAATTTCTTACGTAAATTTAGTGGTGTCATGCCTTTTCTCAGGACATTTGTTTTTAAAGACTTCATCAGTTAAATTCAGGTCTTTACATGAACAAATAAGAAAATTTTCCCCGAATACCCATGAATTTGGTGTTTTCAAACAAAAAGAAATTCATGAAGTGCAGTCCTATTATGATCTTCTCGGAGAAATGAACCGACATTGTAACCCGAGACATTCTTAGAAAAGTAGAAAATTAATTAATAAACATTTCTTAGAACTTGCTATTACGTTGAACAATGACCAAATCCGAACACCATTTCTCTTAGTATAATGAGAACACTTGCACACAATATCACCGTATCAAACAAAAGAAAAAAAAAATATAGTTCAACGACAAAAGGGCAATCATAGAGCTCTCACTTCTCAAACTCAAAAGCAGACGCCACAAAGCTATCAGAAAGTCCAGTGCCAGTCTTGAAGGTGAGCTTCTCTGATGAGGGATTTTCAAAGTACATCTCAACAACAGAGAGCCACAACAGAAGCTCCTTGGTCTTGACCCCAGTCATCTTTTTCATCTTGCGAGGCTCAACTAATGCGGTCACCTCAGTTGCATAAGAAACCTGACGCTTGATCTTCTTGAAGGTGTGATTCTTGCTCTTCTTCTGAATTATCCATATGAATCCTGATGCACGATTATAGCCAAATTCCTCGATATCCTCCACTGGGAACAAACCCAGTGGAAGGCAGATCTCTTTGAGAAGTTCAATGATCATCTTCTTGCACTCGACTGTTAGGTTGAAGGTGGATACCAACCTCTGACGGCGGAGGAGCTCCGACGAGCTCCAGGATGGCGCAGGCGGGCTCGAGCAGTTGAGCTCGAAAGTGGAGAACGCGACCTTCGATTGGCGAACGCGACCCTCGATTGGCGAACGCGACCCTCGGCGTTGAGCGGCTCGACCCCCGCGTTTGAAACTCCCCCCCGAGACCCTAGGGTTTGGGTCGCTCCTTCTCCCCGACTTTTCTCTGGCGGCGGTGGAAAACCCCCAAAACGCAGCAGCGTTCTTTCTCCTAAAATCGCAGCAGCGATTTTCCATTTAATCCCAACTTTTCAACAGTGTTTTGAAAGGGGATTTAAGCAGAGAGAGAAAAGAGAAGAGGGGATTTTATTGTGGGTATTAACACTGTAGCTACAGTGTTCATTTGAGGAATTTCAGTTTAGAGATTTGCTCTTGATTTGTAATTTCTTGTTAGATTAAATAAGAAATTGACTGTGTGGCTCCCGAGGACGTAGGCAGTTGCCGAACCTCGTAAATCTTGTGTATTGTTCTCTATTCTGCGTTTCTATTGCATTAGGGATTTCAGCGTTAAATTCCCAACAACTGGTATCAGAGCGTGAAACGATCTAGAGGAAGTCAGATTCAAGTGGGAGCCATGGCCGCAGATGAGGGAAAGGTGAGATTAGATAAGTTTGATGGATCAGATTTCGAATTCTGGAAAATACAGATAGAGGATTATCTGTATCAGAAAAATCTGTATCAACCTCTCTCGGGGAAGAAGTCGGAGGGTATGAAGGAAGAAGATTGGAATCTTCTGGACAGAAAAGCCCTCGGAGTTATCAGATTAACATTAACTCGCAATGTTGCGTTCAACATAGCGAAGGAGAAGACCACGGCGGAGAGAGTTGGAACGCTACGGTCACAGCTGTGAGTAGCTCATCGGGAAGCAATAAGTTGAAGTTTGACGACGTTCGTGATCTGGTTCTCAGTGAGGAGATCCGACGGAGAGAGTCGGGTGAAGCTACAACCTCTTCAGTATTGCATACAGAGTCAAGAGGTAAAAGTTCAACCAGAGGAAATGGATCAGATGATAGGAGATCCAAATCCAGAAATCCCAACAGTTCGAAGGCTATCGAGTGTTGGAAGTGCGGGAAAACCGGGCACTACAAGAATCAGTGCAGGAGTGCACGGGAGGAGTGGGAGGCAAATGCAGATGTGAACGTTGCCTCCACCTCAGGAGGAGATGATGCGCTGATATGCTCTTTGGAGAGCAAGGAGGAGTCTTGGGTGTTGGACTCGGGAGCATCATTCCATGCTACTTCTCAGAAAGAATTCCTCGAGAAGTATATCCCCGGAAACCTTGGAAATGTATATCTTGGTGACGATCAAGCATGTGCCATTATTGGCAAAGGTGTAGTGAAGATTAAGCTGAATGGGTCAGTATGGGAGCTGAAGGATGTCAGGTATATTCCCGAACTGAAGAGGAACTTAATCTCAGTAAGCCAGCTGGCTAGTGAAGGCTATACGACGACTTTCCATGGAGATGACTGGAGGATTTTGAAGGGCGCAATGACGATTGCCAGAGGCAGGAAGACTGGTATCCTGTATATGACAGCGGGTGCACGTTGTTCGATCTCAGTTGCAGCATGCAATGAGACTTCAAAGCTGTGGCACCAGAAACTTGGTCATATGAGTGAAGAGGGGATGAAGGTTATGCACACAAAGAGAAAACTCCCAGGTTTACAATCAGTAGAGATTGATGTGTGTGAAGAATGCATACTTGGAAAGCAGAAGAGAGTTAGCTTTCAGACAAGTGGTAGACCCCCTAGGAAGCAGAAGCTAGAGCTCGTTCACTCGGATGTTTGGGGACCAACAACCACCGCGTCGATTGGTGGGAAACACTACTTCATGACTTTTATTGATGATCACTCTCGGAAAGTATGGATCTACTTTCTGAAGAAAAAGTCAGAAGTGCTTGAGGCATTCAGAAGATGGAAAGCCATGGTCGAGAATGCGACCGGTTTGAGGGTAAAGAAACTCAGAACAGACAATGGTGGTGAGTATGAAGATACCAGATTCAAGAAGTTCTGCTATGAGCACGGTATCAGAATGGAGAGGATCGTGCCTGGCACGCCTCAGCACAATGGTGTGGCTGAGCGCATGAATAGAACGTTGACAGAAAGAGCCAGAAGCATTCGGACGCAGTCAGGCCTACCGAAGCAGTTCTGGGCAGAAGCCGTCAACACAGTAGCTTACTTGATCAACCAAGATCCATCGGTTCCATTGGAGCACAGAATACCAGAAGAGGTATGGTGCGAAAAGGAGGTAACCCTCTCACATCTCAGAGTTTTCGGTTGTGTAGCTTATGTGCATATAAGTGATCAAGGCAGGAATGAGCCTGATCCCAAGTCTAAGAAATGCACATTCATCGGGTATGGTGAAGACGAGTTCGGCTACCGCATTTGGGACAACGAAAACAAGAAGGTGATCAGGTGCAGAGATGTGACATTCAACGAGAAGGTGATGTACAAGGACATGCACAAGACAGATGACGGTGACTCAGAGAGTGAGTCAACATTTATAGATGCAGATGATGTCCCAAATAACTTCTCTGAAGAACCCAATGCAGAAGGTCCTCAGCCAGAAGAGCCTGTTGGACAGAACGGTGCGCAGGAGCCCGACGCACCAGCACCGATATTGAGGAGAACTACTCGTCCTCCTATGCCTAATAGTAGATACATGAATTATATGTTGCTGACAGATGGAGGAGAGTCTGAAAGCTTTGATAAAGTTTGTCAGAGTGGAGATGCGAGCAAGTGGGAGTTTGCTGCGAAAGAAGAGATGAAATGTCTAATCTCCAACCAGACATGGGAACTAGCTAAGTTGCCCATGGGGAAGAAGGCACGTCACAACAAGTGGGTGGACCGGCGTCCACCCTAGGGTTTCGAATCGTCGAACGTTGACTTTCGCTTGCAACGCGTTGACTGGCGTTTGACCTAGGGTTACGCGTTGACTGGCGTTTGACCTAGGGTTACGCGTTGACCGGCGTCCACCCTAGGGGTTTGATTCGTCAGAGGTTGACTTTTGGAGTTCATCAAAAGGCACGTCACAACAAGTGGGTGTATCGAGTGAAAAAGGAGCAGAATGGTTCCAGAAGATACAGAGCCCGACGAGTTGTCAAAGGATTTCAACAGAATATCCAAGGAAGAAAGGATCCAGCGGATATGTTGACAAAGGCAGCGACCTTTCAAAAACTGGAGTTGTGTGCAACTTCAGTTGGTCTTCATGCATAGATGATGAGGGCGGAGCCACACAGGAGAGGAGCTTGATGGGATAGCCTGTTGTCGTCGGTTTGGTCTCCAAGTGGGAGATTGTTAGGTTGAAGGTGGATACCAACCTCCGACGGCGGAGGAGCTCCGACGAGCTCCAGGAAGACGCAGACGAACTCGAGCAGTTGAGCTCGATTGGCGAACGCGATGGTGGCTTTGGGCGAACGCGACCCTCGGTTGGCGAACGCGACCCTCGGTGTTTGGCGGTCCGACCCCCGCGTTCAGAGCTCCGACCTCCGCGCTCAGCGCCCACGCTCGCGTTTCTGGCCTCCGACCCCGAGGCCCTAGGGTTTGGGTCGCTCCTTCTCCCCGACTTTTCTCTGGCGGCGGTGGAAAACCCCCAAAACGCAGCAACGTTCTTTCTCCTAAAACCGCAGCAGCGATTTTCCATTTAATCCTAGCTTTTCAACAGTGTTTTGAAAGGGGATTTAAGCAGAGAGAGAAAAGAGAAGAGGGGATTTTATTATGGGTATTAACACTGTAGCTACAGTGTTCATTTGAGGAATCTCAGTTTAGAGATTTGCTCTTGATTTGTAATTTCTTGTTAGATTAAATAAGAAATTGACTGTGTGGCTCCCGAGGACGTAGGTAGTTGCCGAACCTCGTAAATCTTGTGTACTGTTCTCTATTCTGCGTTTCTGTTGCATTAGGGATTTCAGCGTTAAATTCCCAACATCGACATCTCCATGGAAGATCTCTGCACCTGAGCGGTGGCTCTCGATGGTCTGAGATGCCATTTGTTCGCGGGAAAAATCGTAGCTTTCATTGAAGTCATTGTGCTCTTTGGCAATTGTTTATCGATTACACAAAGATCCGGTCTTTTTATAAGATCCGGTTACAATAAAATCAAAAGAAAATAAAAATTACATCTTTTTCCTTGTTTGTCGAATGAATCACGAGCTCCTGTTTTGCGGTCACTCGCTTTTGTGGGTTCTTCGCCTGCGCCGGGGTTAATCCGTGGACTACCGTGCGATCTAGATCCGGTCGGATCTACACGGTATAACGGGTGTTATCTCACAAAGGAAATAACAGCCGGGGGTACTATTTCACCAAGGAAATAATAGTATTCTCGGGATCAAAAACCAAGTTTTGATCCGGAGTATTACCGTGTGGATCTCAGAACTGATCTTCCTCTCTCGAACTCCTGCCTTTTCTGACATGGATGCTCGCCAAGAACCAGATCTGATGATGTCCAAGTCTTCAAAGCTTCAAACTTTCAAAGTTGAGATCTCAATCCAGTAGAGCTTCGCCTCCCAAAAGTTCCAACCCTTCACAAATGAGCCCCCCTAGCCTATTTATAGGCACTCAGACTTGTGCCTTGGCACAGGTGGCCGGCCACCGAGCCACCCATGGGTGGCTCGGCCACCCCATGGGGTGGCTCGGCCATGGCCGAGCCACCTGGGGGGTTCGGCTTTGGCCGAGTCGCCCGGGGGTGGCGCCGTTGTGTCCGTTGTCCGGTTCCGCGGTTTATCGGTTCATCTAATCTTCGCCGATGATCTGAATCCTGATTTGGCAGTCCGGATCCCGATATGGCAGTAAA